ACCTAAGTACAAAAGTTAGCAATATTAAACACAGGACAGTGACTTGGCCTTTAGCATTTGCCATTAAATGGTTTGAAGCCAATACCAAGACAAATGAAAGGCATGCACATTGCAGTTAGGTGATAAGAACAATGATAATCTGGAATTTCTGATTTAGAGTTAAATCAGACTTAAATGTTGTAGGCAGTTTTAAATCTTTGAAGTTTATCCCCTAAGTAAAACAAGATCTTCACCCCAACTGTTGTCACTGCAGCCTTTTTTATTATCACTGACTTTAACTTCAAGAATTTCCATATAATGTCATATTTCCAAGCTGATTTTTTCAGTTTAACTTTTCCCTGTAAAGTGATAAAACAGACACCACAATAAAAACAGATTAAGCAAACGTATGTTAATTTATTGTATCAGGGAAAAATATATTAACAGGATTAGATTACTGTGACATATATTGGAACCACAATTTTGGTGAGAGATCAGTAATCTTTAATTAGTCAGTGAAACTGTAGTGATGCTGCTATATAGAAAAATTTCAACAATCTTACTGACATGAAACCAAAATCCATCTTGTGGTTCCACAAAGTCCATAATCATTTCCCTTTTTTGATTAAAATATCCAGCAATCACTGCTTCCATTTTTATTTTTTTGCATTTATTTCTGGGTGAATACAGGATTGATAATCTCTTTTACTAGTCTCTTTTTCTTAAATACTGTCACTATTATCTTTAGATGGACCTGTTTCACTGCCTAGACACTCCCAGATGAATTTGCAGATATAGGGAGTTTTCACAATAGCCAACAACCTGCTTGAAGCTAAACCTGCTCTGCTGCATGATGGACCTAATGTCATAATATAGAGGAATGTGCTGTGGACATGGTATTGTCTGGATTAGAATTCAAAAAATCTTATCCTCTGCATTCACGTTGTTTCTGTGCATAAATCATTTGACCTGTCATTCTGCATATTCTCAGCCCAAGCAATTATACTTATAATTGCTCCTAAAATGTCTGCTAGTTTCACATATCCTCAAATACTTTGAAAATTCACCCTGTTCTGTCTCATCTCTGTCTACTTTTAAGACTAAACAATTATGCCTAACCTGAGCACCTGAGTTTACAGCTGTTTAAGGTTTTGTAAAAAGTTGTTACAGACCTTCAATAACATTCAAAAAAGATTTTATGCTAACAAAAGAGAAATATATATTCATGAAATTTTTCTAAATGTCTTTTACTCTTCACAGAATGAAGTGCAAAGAGAATTTACAAGTTTTCTAGAGGAAAAAGATGAAACAATGGAGTAAGTTCAAACTTTTCAAATATGCTAACTGGAGTTTCACAGTGTCTTAAATTTCCTGTTTACACTGTGTATAAAGCTATAGTGTTATAAAAATAAGACAATAAAAAATTTATAAGTCTTCTCAAAAATTTTAAGTTCTGCTACAGGTGCTATAAGAAGCAGTTAAAAATTTTGGCTAGGGTGTTTACAGTCCTGTACCTACCTATGAAAAACTCACTGATGACTCAAGTGAAACAGAAGTGTTCACTAACAGGACTCCTATTTGTCCAAGGAAGATTTTGGCACGGATAAGTGACTGTTTGAAAACCATGTTCTTCTGAAAATGTCTGCTAGTTTCACACATCCTCAAATACTTTGAAAATTCACTGTCTTCTCTCTCACCTCTGTCTGCCTTTAAGACTAAGTTTTTCAAAAAACCAAAACATGTTGTTAAAAAAAACCTAACATGTTATAGGGGTTTTTTTTTAATTATGCAAGAAAACATAATTAATTAGAATTCTAAATTCTCTATGTACATGCAAAAATCAATAAATACATACAGAAACTTAAACCTCTTTATCTCATATGATGGAAAGATTTGGGCTTCATTGAGTAGTAGAATTGTATTATTTTTCCTCTGGCTTACAAAATACTTCAGGACCATCATTTCCAGAACAATGATCTATAACAGTGAGTGAAACAAAACACTGAGTTAATATCACTACATATTCCCGAGTAAAGAAACTGATGCTATCAGAAAGAATTTGCAAATGAGAAGCATTTTGCGTACAGGCACTGAAATTTCCAAATCATTGACGCTGAGTTGTAATACTATCACTGAGTAATTCTCTTTGCATAATAAATCTGTCCAACCACCAGCTGTTGGAACAATGTGAAATTTAATCAAAAAGGATCACAATAATAAATTTTAGGTAATAAATCCCAAAAAATGCACCTGATGTCCTATCTGTCTGCATTGGCCTTGAACACAAACAGTTATAACCACATTGTTTAGTCATGGCTACTGCTGATTCTTGACAGAACGCATAACCAAATCTTCGGAACAGAAGAGTATTGCTTGAAATATTTACAGAAAATATTGATTGTATTATGATTTGAATAATTTAAATGTAGAAATATTTCAACAGAATTGAACCTTTTGATTCTCAAAGGATCATTCCCTTTTAAAAAGGGAATTATTTTTTAAAATAATATTTAGAAATAAATTTGTATTTATTTAGAGCAGGTGCTTGAAAAAAGGTATTGCATTTACAAAGGACCATTTGTATTTTCATAGAGGAAAGCTATTGATTCAGGTTGCACACAGATTTTCATGATTTCCATAAATATGTGATTGCTGTCCATATCACATATAAACTCCTTAAAGGAAACATTCCACACACTGGTGTTGTATATATCTTTCAAATTATGCAACCATTAGAAGCATTTGCTGAAATTGATATTTCAAAAGTTTTTATGACACCAAATCATTTAATCACCAACTCAACAAGGGATTTTGAATTGATCTGATACTTTTCAATGCTATATAAATGTATATTTAACACGAATTTCGGTCAAAACAAATTTGTGAAAATATTGCTATTGAAGAAGCTGCTTAGCTTTAACCAAGAACATTTTTTGTAATTCAGTGCTGATTTCAATACCCTTGCATTTCTTTCTCACATATTATACATTTATGGAATAGATTTCTATTAATGTCTTCCCGATCATAAATTTAAATAACAGTATTTTCCTAAATAGCTTTTCTAGTTAGAATTATCTGGTTGGAGCATAATTTTATTATTAAAGTTTACTTTGAAAATGACCACTTCATGAAAAAGATTGCATTATTCTCTCATAGATTTTTATATTTTCTACTAATAAAATCAAAAAAGTGGTTTTGGTGCTATGTAAAGAAAATATCTGTTGTATAGGAAAACCTACACACATTAAAAAGAAGTGGTGCTCAGAGAGGAAGTTTTGTTCAGAGCACTGCAAATATTTCACTCTCAGAATCTCAAGACTTTTGTAAAGAATTTGCTGTAACTGGGGGGAATTAGAAAGAATGACAGACAGACAGAAAGAAGGAGAAATATGTATTCATTATTGTATTTATAATATAAAATTGATAGCAAAATGAAACAGATAAACCTTATGAGATTCTCATTCATTTACTCATCTTTTCATAATATTTTATGAGAAGGCATAATTATTTTCTATGATGCAGACAGTATTTATTTTCTTCAATCAATTCACTATTGCGTTTTCTCAAGAAAATATATTTAAGTTATGAAACAAATATCAAGTGATGAAATCTACACTGTTGTTTATAGAAAGGCAATACAGTTAATAAAATGTGTATGTATGGCTTTCTCTCAGTCTGCAAATATTACACAAAAGATGTGTAAGAACTGACAGACATCAGAAGAAATAATAAAATTTTGTCCCTGAAAATAACACATATACAATTACTTTTAAAGTACAGAAAACTGCTTCCTTGCAGAGGGATGCAGTCAGCACATTGCATAAGAATAAAGAGATTCAAGTATGGGTTTTTTTACATAAGATACCATTTATTGCCTAGCTGCTCTTCTGAAAGCCTCAAGAAGTTTTTTACATAACTTTTCATTTCCTAAATTTAGATCTCTTATCTTGGTCATTATCTCTTTTATATTGTACTCTCTTTCCTTGAATATTTTTTGTGTTTTTCTATTACAATAGTTTTTATCAAGGTTTTAAGACCTTTAAAAAGGCAAATATAGCATCTCTGGATTTGGATTCATTCTTATATGGTGCATACAAGTCCATCATGTGACTTTGGCTGGGCAAAAAACCCCAAACATTAGTAACATTTATATGTTAAAACAGAGCTAAAGAAAGAATCTACCACTTGCATAAAAGCAAATTAGGGTTGCTATAAGTACAGATACTTCTTGCTTGGCTCATTCTTCAGTATGATAATTCTAATAAGCATAATCACCAATTGGTCATCATTAATTCATAATTGCCTGTCATAACAAGATTTCCCTTCCTTCTTTTGATCTAGTTTTTATGCAGATATGTCTCCAAAGTAACTGACATGAGAAAACAAAAAGTCTGATAAAATATATAGAAGTCTATTTAGTTTATCAACCACACATTTCTAATACCTTATACACAAATTTCATTATCAAGTGTGAGGCTGAAGAAAGACATGTCCAATTAGGGCATAAACAACAATATCTTCCTATTATGGCTCAATCCCAGCTGGCAACTGAGTACCACACAGCTGCTCACTCACTATGCTGCCTCTGGTGGGGAGGAAAAAGTAAAGCCATTTGGTTGAGATTAGAACACTCCAAAAACTGAAACAAAGATAAAATAAAGTAATTGTAAGGAGAAAGAGAGGAAAAAACTAAGATAAATAAGTGATGCACAATACAACTGTTAACCACCCACCAACCAATGCCCAGCCCATCCCCCAGCAGCCATCTACCCCTCCCAACCAATCCCTCCCCTCTCTCCCCTCCAAATTTATATACTAGTCATGATATTCTGTGGTGTAGAATATGTCTTTGGGACAGTTGTCCTGGCTGTGCTGCCTCTCAGCTTTTACTGCACCTGATCACTGGCAGACTGGGAAACTGGAAAGTTTTTGACTAAGGATAAGGACTACGTGGCACCCACCAAGACATCAGTGTGTTGTCAACACCATTTTCATACTGAATTCAAAATACAGACCTTTACCAGGAGAAGAAAATCAGCTCTATCAGGTCCAAAGCCAGGAGTTCAGGAAAGCATTTGCAATTTTTGTTGACTAGCACTGAAATGCTGCACTCTGTTCCGAGTAGATGCCAGATTTCCTAGATATGCCACTACCTGCTATCAAACAGACATTTTTGCAGTCATTTTTAAGATAGTGTTGATCCTTGAGAACAGCAGCTGCAAAATACAGATATTACGTGATTCAGGTGAAACCAGTCTTAATGAGCCATCAAAGAATGTGCTAGTAATTCACATTATGTTCTTAGTTTATACGCACTTCATTTTAGCAAACCCTTGCACCTGTTCTGTCATCATCTCCATTTACTTATTTATTTGCAAAGTTTTGTTTCTGCTGCTCATCTCCCTTGGTCTCTCTTCCTTTCTGCAGTCCTGACAAAGGCATCAATGTCCCCTCTTGCCTATAACACTCCTGCTAGAGAGTAGCCACAGTGTATTAGACTGGCTCCCACTGATGGTTGCACTAGCAAGATGCACAAGAATATGCTGTTGAATGTCAAAATCCAACTTTCACTGGTTTCTAATAAACTTGGGCATCATGCACTTTGATATATGATTTTAGCTGCTCTCAGCATATCCAGTGTATCTTCTAAGAAAGGGTGTTTTCCCAAAAGGAGCAAAGCTTCCTGCTAACAAGTACAGTGAGACTCTGTAAGTTTTTCTGAGGAAACTATCTCACAAGCTTCTCATTATTCTCTCACAATACCCTTTCTAAATATAGATTCCAATTATACTAGAGACACTATACACCAAAAGCTGGAAAACCCACCACAAATACTTTACTAATCATGTAGAGAGCGACTGACACATATAAATATTATTATAGAATGTGTAATTTCCTTATTTTCTGTGAGAATTCCATAAAACAGGTCAAACTGTTAAAGTTCAAAATATGAAAATAAAGTTTAAGTTAAGATAGCATTTAATTTGCAATACTGACTTTCTTCTGTATAATTTCTCTAAGAAACAAAGAATTATTTTCTGGATCTTGACCTGTTAATGTTTCTGTGTACACAAGATTTTTGATAGGAATAGATGTGCTCAGCCAAAATTGCCAATGCAACAACACATCAAGAAGATATGTCTCCTGCCTTTCAGATGGTTCAGTCAAGAATTCAGTTGTACTGGTGGCGGTCTTTCAGCACCAAAGATATTCACTAAACTGTACTTCAGAAATGCTGAAAAAAACTGTATTTCACATGCAAATTTTCTTTCCTTTCTTTCTTTGAATTATATATTCACATGCAAAACTTCTTTCTTTCCTCTATTTTGCTGATTCAGGTTTGCTCATACTTTGTTATATGATAAGACAACTATGCTTTTATACTTCAGTTCACTGTTTCTTCCCATTCCTCATATTTTGTGATGGAATTTAACAGTCTAGCCCAAGGAAAATGTTTTCTCATCGCTTCTCACATGTAAGCTTCAAAATAAGTTTCTGAATTCTTAACAAATTCAGAACAGCGATCTAGAGAATTAGCAATAGCACAGAGAGATGCTGAAATTCATGGTTTACAAGGGTTAAGATGAAGAGCTCATTTTCCCATTTTCTCTGTTCCTTTGCACCCAGTGAACCCTAAATTTTATTAAAGAGGTGTGAGCAAGTTGCAAATGATAGCACAGCTATTCATAAAATGAATTAATCTGATTTTGCATAAATTTCTGACAACATTGCTGAGTTTGACAGCATAAACCATCAAAACGAAGAAAAAGTAGATTTGACATGCATAAGCCCTGTTAAGGACTGCATAACTTATTTTTTAATACACAATACCAGAAGGTAATCATAGAATCACACTCAGAACATTTTGAGTTTAAAGGGATGCACAAGGATCAGCAAGTTCAGCTTTTCAGTGAATGGCCCATACAGGGATCAAACCTACAGCTGTGGCATTATTAGTAGCATGCTCTAACCACCTGTGGTATATAGAAAGCATCCAAAGTTCATAATCCAGAAAGAGACTATTGAGTGCTGTCACAGCAAAGACAGTGGAAATTAATCAGAACTGGATTATATGTTGTAGAGACTTTACTCCTAATATTTTTCGTGAATTGTTGTTTCATTTTACACATACCTACACTGAGACCTGCTCAGAAAACCAGATCAGAAGATATGCAGGTTTGGGGTTTATGGCCATAAAGTAGTATAGTATTTATTACAGTATTACAGCATTTAAAGAAAGAATGTGAATGAATGTGAATGTGAATGTGAATGAATCTCAGCAGAAAATGTTTTGAATATGCAAGCATTTCTACTACATGCAGTGTAAACACATAATAAAAGAGCAAGTAAAAAAAGCAATATGGATTACACTGCAATGGTAAATTGCAATCTATAAAAATTGGTACTTGCCAATCTTCAATCCATAGCAATCCTACATCAGTGGAATCTTCCAAGATTCTGGAAATGTAAACAGCTGTTCAATTTTCTCTGTGTTCATGGTGGATACACCAAAAACCAATCAGTACCTTTCTGGGTCATTGAGTACTTTCTGCTGCAGTAATCTATGCCAAGAGAACATTGTGTCTCCGGGCTCGTCACAATGGGATACTTTTGCTGCTGGTCCCCCGCTTAGGCTTACCTCAGCCTCCAAAACAGACAACTGCTGATAGCCCACTGTCACTCCAGAAATACAGCTGGCTTCTTCCTCGCTGTATCCTAATGACATTAGGGTGGGTACATTTTGCCCTGAAGTCCACCCGAGCTTTAGACTTCTGTGGACCTGGTGTCCCATGCAGCCAGACAGATCCACACAGTCCTTCAAAACCAATTACCCATTTCCTTCTTTTGGCATAAGCCAGAGAACTTGCGCTCCTGGTCAGAGTATTCACTGCGTGACCATTGCAGTGCCAGAAGTCCTTTCACCACAATCATGGCACACTCAGTCTTCTTCCTGTGTGTAGAGAATCACTGTTTGCCTTCTATTGTCTCAGCAGCAGCTGGAGTGACAGTCTTCTTGGAAGACCCTTTCTTCATTGCTGTCTTCCTCCCCAGTTTGCAGATGTGGGCTTGTAGCTTCAAGGTAGGTTAACCATCCCAGTTCCTTGTGTCCTCTCACTGGTCATGTAAGAAAAAACAGAATGCACATGGCATGGTTAGGACAGAGCTAACTATCCTCGTAACAGCCAGAATCAGAGCAACTCCATATTTTGAATTTTCTTATTTTTAACCACTTTGGCTGCAAGGTCCCATTAATAAAAAAAATTAAATTATATATGCAATAAAAAAATTTACTCATAAAGTTTTGAAAATAAATGTATGCAGACAATTTCCTTTCAAGTAGGTAAATCAATGCACTTAAATATATGATTATGTAATAAATAGAAGAATAAATAGAATGCATCTCTGGCAATCATTTCATATCCAACTTGATGAACTAAATGATGGTGTAAGAACGCTGTGTATTCTAAGAAAATAAATCTACCTAGATTTATATATATTTATATATATCATTAGGAAAACAGTAATAAACATAAAATTATTTTGATTAGCTCATGAGAAAATACAGTGGCAGTTTGATGGTGTCCAAAGTCCATACTGTATTACCATATTGTCTAAAAATAACATTCACTACAGACAATTCTATTTCTCCCTACTTAAAGACAATATGAAAAAACTGTCCAAGAATGGTAAGTGATGCAATTTATTGTTTAAAGTCTGTAGCAATCATGACAGAAGCACACAGAGGTCTGAGTTGCTAATGATTCGTGCAGACACGTCTACAGTGAAGATCTTCTGCTGGCCTATAAGGAAGCTGAAGAATCTACATAATTGATCTGTTCCATGTAGATATTCAGGATATAAACTCAATGTAACCTCTTCATAACTGATCCACTTAATTTTCTTCACCCTTCTTGATGTTTCAATGGGGATTCAAGGGATTTTCCTGGTCTCAAAGAGATATGAACAGCTGATGATTGCTAGAAAGGTATTTATTGCATAAAAGCATCAGTCTCAAAGGCAAAGTTCAGAGAGTCTAAAGTCCTTACTAAAAGCTTTTGGCATGAAGTCCTGGATTCTGAGCAGCAGTTTCTCAATGTGGTGTTCTGTTGTCCTGGGCCGCAGAAGCAGCTGGTGATGATGATGGAGCTGCTGCTCTTCCTTCTCAGTCCAGCCCCCCAATCCCCAGCACAGGGGATTAAATTTATACATCAACCAATCAGCTAAAAACACGCTTCTAAAACAATTCTTTTACACCAATATGAACTTAGGGTATTATCTGTTTACATGAATAATCCTATCTGCTCTTATCCAAGAATGCAAAGTATATTTTCATTATGTCTAGAGCTCAGTTGAATCTGTGAAGGGCATTATCACTGGACTTTAAACCGGGGAATAAAGCTTTTCACTAGCTAACACAGACTCTTAGGGCACTTACGCTATATTTTTACCTACTTAAAACGAAAACCTTCACTTTTACTCTGTATCTGTGGTTCAATACATTTCAGTTATTTTCTGTTTCTGAGGAGCTCAGAGGGGGTTTTATTTTTGATTCCAACATCTCCCCCTCCTTTCTGCAGCATGTAGATTCCTCTAGAAGTTTTATTAATCATTTATCCAATGCATTGGAAAAAAACAAGGCACTATATTTAGTACAACTATTATGATGACTAAAATGTATAGACTTACTTTTAAAAACTTTTTCACCTATGATGTTTAACTTCATCCATTAAACAAGCTATTTTTACAGAGCCAGGGATCTCAAATCCTTATAGTTCAAGAGGTGCCTTGAGAAGGTTAGGAGCCCACAATTACACACATCTGCTGGGGACTATAGGTCCCATGTAGATGATCTTGCAAATGTACCTTGCATGGCTTTGTTAATTTCTTTTGGAATTGGCCAAGCATCCACTGGCACACTAGTCAGGCAGGTGGAACATAATTTTTTTTTTTTTGGATTGTGTTGGACAGACATATGGTATCTAAACCTGACACATTAGATAAAAGTTACCTAAACATTGGTTCCAGGCTGACTAACTAGCAAATCTGTACTATGAAAAGCAAGCAAAGCAAACTAAGCAAAAAGAAATATAAACTTAACATTTGATTAAACTTCATGTTTCCTTAATGTTGGAAACAGAAAAATAGAAACTTCTACAAATACTGAAGAGTTCAGTCTGCAGCCTTAGAAAGAGCTTAAATTGATGTAGTCATGAAGGTACACAGACATTGGGTAGAGAAATCATAAACTTACGTCTCTATAGTTATAAGTAAGAATATGCCTAAAGTAGGTAAGAAACTATATTAAGTAAAAGAGTTTGAATTTGAACTGTAGTAGTGTGACTTATAGAGTAGGTTAGAAATCTGGAAACTATATCACAGGCATGTATGAGTCACAGTGCAGCAAAATTAATCAAAGGTGATAGGTTAATAAGTGAAAACAAATTTCGTGTCAACTGCCTGTTGGGCTAAAATGTTATATATTGCTGTGCAAAGAAGAAACCCATGTCTTACTTGAGCTGTGTCTGACTTGTTACTCCTCTAAATCTCACGCCTTGAGACTGACATCTTATCTGGCTATTTGAGCAATAAATCATCTCAAAGCAAGATGGCCCTATCCCTCATTCTCCATTTTGACACCTTAAAATTGTCTTTTTGCAAAAGATTATTTTTTTAAATTTTAATTTTAAAGCAAATTTTAAGATTTTTTTGTTTCTTTCTCTCTTTCTAATGTTGTTCATGTATTAGCCAAGGATGAGACACAAAGTTATTTTGGGAACATTCAAATAATTTTAATTTTTTTTTTTTAATTTAGATACCTTCTGATTTTTTTGCAAATTCTTTTTCACATTCTTTTTTTAACACAAATTGTACCTTATTTTTGCCAAAACAGCTTTACAATGTCAGATGAGTAGATGATTATTTCGAACCTGTTACTAAAACATAGGCATATCACCTCTTTAAGGAATCACTTAGGATTAGCTGCTGTATTCTTAATTATGAATTCAGATTTGATCTTTTCTAAATTTTTTAAAATGGATTACGGTCTAATTTTTTAATTTACATATGGCATTAATGGAATATTCTCAGGGCATTGATTCTTTTTGTTTTTAAAAGGGAGATGTACCTCTCTTATCATGCACATAAAAGACATCAAAACAAACAATACACATAATGAATAAAAACAGTAGTTAGAAATCAGATGTTAAACATGATTAATAAATCATTAAATCATAATAATAATAAATTATTATTAACCACTAAAACACTATACCAGCACCTCAAAGTCTGCAAACAGCCAATAAACCTCAAATCAGTAAAGAACTGGGTAATAATTTCTGGATGATGATTCTCCAAGCTTACTTTAAAACTGATCCTGCTGTCATGCAATAGAGTCAAATCGTCAGGTCAAAATGAATTGAATATTGTTTTGGTGCAGAAAACATCTGGATTGTTGGCAAATTTTCCATCCAGGTAAAGTCAAGGTCTGGCCAGGGCCTAGACTTTAAACTGGAAGGACGTCCCTTAACTCATTTTTAAAAACAAGACTCTTAACAATTAGAAAATTATCAAACGTCTAGGAGTTGGTTCTCTTTGAAACTTAACTCTGGAAATACTAAAAAATCATGAAGCTGCACTGGATCAAACCCATAGCAAACCTGTTCAAACAAGAAAAGAGACTAAATGAGAGAAACCTGCACAGGACTAGCTAAACAACCTGTTCAACTGCATTTTGCAATTTGGTGTAGGTGATCACACAAAGAGATGTCAAAGTACATGAGAAACTGGCTGTAAATACAATAATGATACCTTATAAATAATGTTTATCATAAAAATATACAAATTCACATTATACAATAAATATATCAACAGTAAAAAACTTTTAAACTTCTTAGTATTAATAACAATCACTATTCTTTCATTCTACCTATCATAGACAAAAACAGCAGAGATTGTAACAAGTAATAAAACTTTGGTGCAATCAAGGGTGTATTAGACTACATCTTCTTCCATCCAAAAGCAGATATTTATCAGTGTTTCATCTCAGCTGTTCCAGTCATAGTCATCTTATCTCTAAAAGAAAATAACTATACAGTTCAGATAAGCATCTTTTAACAAATCTTGAGACAATTTAGATTAAAGTACATTTAAACTTAATATGAATGACATCTGATAGAAAGAAATCTTAAAAATTAGTTAGACATAAACGTAACAAAACTTAACTGTACTTAATTCTATTAAGATACACTTATTTCTATTACGTGCACTTAATTCTATGATTACAAAAAAAGACAACTAAAAGTTTGGTATATAACAGATGAACATAATATATCAACATGGATTTACTCTAGAAATTATAAAGATGTGACAAATATATTATGATTTTATGTAATCTGGCCTTAAGAATAACTCATAATAACTGCAGATATTATTGAAAATACTTATTGGTAATGGGAATTTTTCTGGTGCAAACAAGTTTATCAGGGCTTTTAAAGTGTAGTTTTACTAAAGGAAAAAAATATAACAACATAGGGTTTGGCAAATTGCCATTCAACTTTTGTAGCACTTTGCAGACGTTTGTGCAATAAATTTGGGCTTGGCCTAATAAAGGTAAGGGAACACAAATATTTAAAACATAAAACAACAAGAAACTCTTCATATAATATTGTCATAAATTTTATGCTTAAACTGTTTAAACAAAAAGTCCAATTTTTAATTAAGATTTAAATAAGTATACATGCTGTCATGTGTTTTTATGATTCACAATAAAATTATCTTTTTTAAATTGTAGGGGAAAAAACAAACAAATGGACAATATATAGTCCAATATATAGTTAACTTTACTTTCTTATGTAGTGAAATTTTTCCCAAGCTAATTATTCTTTAATTAGAATTATTAATTATTCTAATTATCATGCCGTGGTGGGCACGTCCAGCCCGGGCTGGAGCAGCAGGGGTGCCGCTGCAGCCGTGAAGGGGAGAACGGTGCGGCGGGGCCCAGAAAACCCACTGGTTCTGGCCAGGGGTCTCCCAGTGTGGCCATGATGGCAGCTGCAGTATTTGTGAGGGGAGTGGCAAAGCCAAAGAGAGTCCTTCTGCCTGTCCCAGTGTTTCTCGGAGCCCATCTCCAGCTCCAGCAGCGAACCGGGATGGCAGTGTTCCCTGTCAGGATGCTGAGGCAGCATGGGGGGTACTGAGGCAGCCTCTGAGTTTGCAGGATTTGTGAGTGAGTTCTTCAAGATTTCTACAATTAATCTCCGAGCTGGCAACCAAAAACCAGCTGTTTTGTCCCTTCTGGTAGTATCATATAATAGGTTCACATCCAAGATTTCTAAAACTGATCTCCACGTTGGCAACAAAGAAACAGCTGCATTGTTCCGATGGGTGGCATTATCAACTAGCTTAGCACCAATTTGGGCCCAGAGTGAGGTAGTTAAAGCATTAGATTTACTAGATTTTTATTAGATTACCAGATTCACTTCTGGGAAATGCTTTTCAGCATATATTAAAAGATCTTTTAACTCCTTATTTGAGACTTCATGGACATTATCTTTTAGAAAATATTTTAAATAGTCATAGATACGTATCTGCTCTTTAGAAATATTTTTCCCGATTAGAATCCGATTACCCCAGAGCTCACCTGTCCACTTAGTAGGTGACAGTTCTTTCATGGACCCGTTCCAGGTGTCCAGCACCTGGATTTTTCCTCAAGCACTCACTGGCTGTCCATGGTTATTTTGATTCCCTGGATTCTGGCTCCAAGCAGGCCTTCGACTAGTTCTCTGGAGAGCTTGACTGCTTCACTCCTTCAGCTGCTTAAAACAGGGGCACCATTTGTCGATGTTTCAATGGGGATTCAAGAGATTTTCCTGGTCTCAAAGAAATATGAGCAGTTAATGATTACTAGAAAGGTATTTATTGCATAAAAGCATCAGTCGAAAAGAGTTCAGCGAGTCTAAGTCCTTACTAAAAGCTTTTGGCATAAAATCCTGGATTCTGAGCAGCAGTTTCCCAGTGTGGTGTTCTGCTGTTCTGGGCCGCAGAAGCAGCTGGTGATGATGATGGAGCTGCTGCTCTTCTTTCTGAGTCCAGCCCCCAGTCCAGGGGATTAAATTTATACATCAACCAATCAGCTAAAAACACGCTTCTAAAACAATACTTTCTACACCAATCTGAACTTAATTCTAACAGACAAAAGCAATGCTCTTTTGACCTAAATCTTAGGTATAGGTTATTATCTGTTTACTTGAATAATCCTGTCTGTTCTACTCAAGAATGCAAAGTATATTTTCATTATGTCTAGAGCTCAGTTGAATCTGTGAAGGGTATTATGACTGAACTTTAAACTGGGGAATAAAGCTTTTCACTAGCTAACACAGATTCTTAGGGCACTTCAGCTATATTTTTACCTACTTAAAACGAAAACCTTCACTTTTACTCTGTATCTATGGTTTAATATATTCTAGTTATTCTCTGTGTCTGAGGAGCCCAGAGAGGCTTTTATTTTGGATTCCAACACACCCTGAAAGTGGGAGTTTGTTAATGAAAAAAAAATACAGTTTTCCTTAGTCAATGCCTTTAGGATAGAATAGCTTGGACTCCATAAATGCATCACTGAATCTAACTAATTACATTAGCCCAGCCCACTTTGCATGAGTTAGTACAGGTATAGGTACATATTTATGGTGTCAGTGAGTTCAGCACTACAAATTTCAGCTGGAAAAGGAGAAAAGGAGTGCATAGTTTCAGACTTCTGTTGCACTTATTCACTGAGAAATGAAATGGAATCCAGGATTTTCTTTGTGTCAAAGACATGAAACAAAATACCAGTATAGCCACTAGTAAATGATTGCATCCTAATAAACCCATGATTGTGTTGGGTAAATTAAGAGGAAGTTTATTAAAAAAAGCAATTTCTTGAAATATTGCATTTTTATAAATGAAATACAAATTATAAGCTATATAATTTACTTTTTAAAATCTTATTACTTACATTTACATTTGCTTGTGTGGTGGTTTTTAGTGATAGCTAAAATCACCAGAGTATTTACTCATTTCTTGCTCTGAGATATGGATTAGGAGAAGGGCAAAACAGGCTTAAAACTTAAAAGGAACAGAGAAACTTTATTAACAAGACTACAAGAATAAGAAACCACAATATAACCTCCAGAAACCTTTTCTACCCCCACCCAAACTTTCTTTTCCCTACTGACAACCCAGAGACAAAACCTGGGATGTTAAAGCAGTACCAACTATACAATAGTCTTTCTATCAGTCCTTGTGGGGAGAGGAGTTTTCTCCTGTCATTCCATGAATTCTCCACAACAAACAGTTTTCTCGTGGCTTTTCATTTCTACAACTGACAGCCGTCCAGGCACAAACTCTGCCATTATGCCTTCCTCCCATTTTCACACCACTCAGAGGTGTGTCCATGGGCCGTGGACTTAAGGGGTATTATTTTAAGGATGAGTTATTCAAAGGCAAAGGTTCTCTCCATTTGTCTCTGTGATCATCTCTGGGAACAGAGGTTTTCTCCTTCTCTCCCTTGGGACAAAGGGTCTTCATCACTGTCATCTCTCCCCCTCTATTCAAGTGTTTTACGGGATCACAGCTACTCCATCATCTTCTTGTCTTCATCAATGGATACCTCTGCCCAGACCTACAGCTTGAATACTTCATTTCCCCAATACTCTTTCATGAATTTTCAGAACATTATTGTCCATCTCCATGGCCCTACCAAAAGAATATTTCAGCTTATTAGAGCGTCTCCTCATTCTCCTTACATCTGATGCCTGACTCCTTCTTTTACTGACCTTGATTTTTCATGTTGTCTCTTTTCATGTCAATTGCTCTGTATTTTCTCTCCCTGGAGAGAAGATTAAAGTCTGCAGGTCTCATCTGTGTAGAGAAAAGGTTAAATCTTGCCCAGGTCTTGTGTATGGTCATGGGATCTCTGCTGGTGCCAGTGGCTGGAGCTGTTTATGATGGATGATTTTCAGTGGCTGTGCTAAGGGAGGGCAGCCAGCATCTCAGGAGCTGGGCTAGCACTCAGAGGCAGTATGCTACGGGCCGATGGTTTCCCCTCCGCCTGCCCAGCAGCTTCTGGTAAAAGCCGGGGACTGGCCTGGCCTGGCCCGGCCGCACAGCTGGAAAGGGCTCAGCGGACTCCCCAGGAGGGCTCAGCCTCCCTGGGAAGAGCCTCAATCACCCTGCTGGAATGGGACCTGGAGGGCTTCCCAGGAGGGGCCACAGCAGAGCCCGGCCCAGCCTGAGGAGGGGGTCCCACAGTCTCCATTCCCCACCCGGGAGCCGCTGGGCTCCGGCCCAGCCCTCCCCAGGCCGCACAGGCCGCAGGGCAGCGGGGCCAGCCGCACCAGAACTCTGCTGCCTTTCAAAGCCAGAAAGAAAGAGAAAGAAGTTCCCGAGTTTGGGGTTTTAAAAGGTGGTATTCACAGAAGTGATCTTACTTTTCAGTGGTGCAAAATGCTGCCAGTTCTCAGAACTGGCCAGCTATTGGCCTGCTCTCAAGCAGAGAAGGAACTCCCAGCAGCTTCTCCCAGAGAAGTCACTTCCATGGGTGTGACAAACTACCACAGCTTGTCAGTTGGCTTTAAAAGACGGTTTCATGTTGTATTTGAGAAAATCCCTAGAAACTGATCACACATTCATACCAAAGTGTAGCAATGAGTACAAGACAAAAAAATTCACAAAGCATACTCTTTGAAAAATTCATATATTGGGACAATACATGTAATTACTCTGCCACAAGGAATGCATAGTAAAGGAAAGCACAATAGCACCTGTCAGAGATTAGAACACAGGAGTAAGCTAGGAACATATGGGACAGATGGAGACATTGAAATCAAATCAAAAGTGTGAGAGTGACTCCACAGGACAGAGAATAGCATAGGTGATCTTTTAAGAGTGTCTAAAGAAAAGTTCACAGCAAGTGTGAAAGATATCTAAGTTTCATATATATGGTATGTGTATATATACACACAAGTAAACAGAGCAAGCAGAAACCAAACTTCATTAGATACGAGCAAAAACATTTATTCACAAAGTTAAATAAATAAATAAATAAATTAAAAAGTCCTGTCTTCCCACAGAGGAGTTATTAAATAGTTTTGACCAGTTTATTTTCATTTTCTTGAGTTTTGCTTTACATATGTGGAATCGTACAATGCTGTCTTGTTCTCTGTCAGACAGGTGTATATTTTGATTTTGGTGACAGCTGTTTGTCATGCTGAAAAATTGATTTGGTTGTGAATGATGTTAGGTAGAAAATAATTGTATGTATGGGACACTGTCAAATACTGAGCTTTTGAGCCCTTATGCATAAACCTTCTACTTGCTAGCTGCCACTGATACAATTCCATTGTAAATTTTGACAACATCCAGGCTAAACAAAAATGACATGTCCAGAATTGCCCAAATAATAAAGACACATATGACAGAACCATCAATTAATAAGGTGATCACATACTATGCTTCTCTATGTACACAGGGAATACTGAGAGTTTGGAGTCTTTAAAAAAGAGGAGACAGTACCAAAACCAGGAGTTATCAAAAGGAAGGAGGAGATTTTAAAAGAAGAAGGTGAAGACCTTGGCTGCAGCAAGGACCCTGTCAGTGAGAAAAGTCACTAAAAGTCACAGACCTGTGTGGAGAACACCAGGGATGCTTGGTACCAAGTGCCTGAGACAGGGAGCAGACATCAGGAACAAACACAAATTTCCACCGAGTATCTCATGCCATCTTCCTGCTGGGAAGGAATGTTTTGGACATAGAGGAGGCCGGGCATGAGCAAGTGACACAAGCAATGTAAAAGCTCTGATCTTGTAACTTAAATCCAGTATACAGGTTCCCTACAGGTTTTCATTCTGTCTAACCCTTAGCACTGCTCAATATATATGATTCCATGTCTGATACTGAAAGACCTTGAAGAAAAGGCTTGAAAATATGTAAAAATTAGGAAGTTATACATGAAAGTTGTTTTTATCTGCTGAAAATGAAATAAACTACTGGATGAATAGCCTTTGCCCTCTTTCCTTGAGTTTTGTAATTGTATTCTTTCATAGCATATCTAGCCTTTTATTTAACAAACTTTTAAAGGTAATTAATAAATTAAGGGCAGCTAGATAGCAACACAAGTTTCTCCTACATTTTTTAAAAATGCAGAGATGCTGTGGATTCAATTGAATGGCATAAAAAAAAATAAAAATAAACATAAACATAAAAATAAAAATATTAAAAACCCCACACCAAAAAATATGAGACCCTCAGCTTTTTAAGACAGATAGATAGGCATTGATCTAAATTTAAGAGTCATAATTTGAGTACTCATAGCTCAATCTCTCTGCAGTCTGATTGCAATCACCCAACTTGACATGGACTATAATCTGGCATTTCTTGAAACTGAAAGGGTTGCACCTGGGCTGAAAGGAATTTTAAATCCTGCTTGGGGGTAATGTAGGTTTATTAAAATATATAGATTTTTATTTTATCTTTACAGTGGCCCACCATTTCTAGGCAGAATAAACAGGCCCCTCCATACTTCCCTAGGCTTTTCATTTTAAGAATCTTATATTTGCATAAACAGTAATAATTTCCATTCAGAAACCTGTGACTTATTTTTAACACTCCGTTTACTATCAGTGCACCATTCAGTCTGGAGGAAAGTCATAATTCAATTTATTTCAATTCAAGAAGAATACCTTATCTTTTCCTAGTATTTTATACAAACTACAACAAAATATAGTGATCATTTGCTCGTGACTAGACTTCCTAAGACTTTTTTTCCACTAGATTCTGGTTTTTTTCATTTATTACAGTTTTGCTTCTGATTCCAGAAGTACTGCAGGTTCCACATCTGCAGATATACTCTTTAAAAA